TGCCATCGACTTGGCACAGATTGAAGTCGTATGTTGTAGCGAACATGCTCGGACAATCTATTTGCGACAAGACGAATTGCCGTTTGTAACAGATGCGCGAAATACAGCGCCGTGAGGTTACATAGCCACGGTGATAGATCCACTTGGTGGGTTCGCGGAAAGCTAGTAACCTGTTCATCTGCCGCTGTTGAGCCGCGGGCTTCTTTTCCTGGTATAGACAAGTGGATACTGTGTGGAGATATTCTGGGGCGCGGAGGGAAAGGGTTTTTCCCGGCCGGCGTGGGGTGTTGGGATGCGGGATGAGAAGACTATTGCCGCTATAAAGAAAGGTACCTGTACGTGAGGCAAACTGAGTTCTTGAATGAAGGGTGAGGCGACCGGAAATGATTACAGCTGTCAGACGCAAAGTTAAAACCTAAACGCGCAACGAATTGGGAACATGGGGACAGGGGATAGGCGCAAAAGCAAAGAAAGGGCGTTTTAAGCCACATGTTCGGGAGTGACATACTAGGATAGACCCTAGAATGTTGAGTGGCTCTTCTCAAGGAAGAGCTTGCGGCGAAGTGCTGACATCTACTCCATCTGCATGCTGTAGCGAATGTGAATTTGCAGGAACAGCCACCCGTACACCCGAATGTGGATAGACGCCCCATATAAGCTGAAGAGTGATTCCTCAACGTTTGCTTTGACACCTAATTCAGGGTCTTGAAGACGCATCCCGGAACCGGGTGAGTAAAAGACCGAAAGCTTACCAGAATTGGAGGTGTCACAAGCACAACAACTTGCGGACTTAAGACGCTGTATCGGCTACGGCGGAAGAGCTCCAGTTGTGACCTATCGGAGAATAGCGATGAGGGTAAGCGGTAGGTTCTTCTAGGCTCCCACTGGGGGTGAAAAGTACCGCACATTCCTAGAGGATCGTTTCATTGTCAGTACATCCGCTTGGCGCATGACGTCGATGCTGTTGATTGTATCGTCTGACTGTCTGCCAGCAGAACGGATAGGATCGAGTCTAACCCATCAGTTGCGTCTAGAGGCCAAGGTACAAAGCTCCAGTCGCGAAGCGGTAGTGGGTCGTAGGAAGCGGCGAGGTACGTACCAAGCGTGCACGTGAGACGCAGACTACTGCAATACTAGCGTCACTGCAATCGCGCGTCAAAACCCACCAGATCTAGCTTCTCCTAGTGGTGTACAGTCAGTAAAGGGCTTGGCGTCAGCAATATTGCGTTATATTTGGGCGCTCAACATCAAGCCTCGAACGATTGTTATAATGTGGGGTGATTTTGGGTGTTGCCAGCGACTGCTAGAAGCGAAATGAAAACTAGAACAAGAGAGGGTAGCAAGTCCAAGGTGAGATACAGGGTTGCTGTTCTCCCTCCAGGATCTTGTAACGTTGCGTGCAATTAGAGTGGAACACCATGCTTTTGCGTTGCATGCACGCTGATCTGTTGTGTATTTGTCTTTACGGTGCTTCCAGACCCAGCTTTCGCTCTTGTCACTCCGAACAGCTCCCTGTACGAATGGTAACGGGAGACGGCTCATGCCTCGCAGATGCAGGAGCGTGATAGGTGGAGCTGCAGGGCGCAACAGTTCTGGCGGTTCGCAGACCTCGAGATGAAGTACGAGGGGTATGTGTCTGGGGGAGTGCGCCGGAATATCCTCATTGGGCTAGTGTGCGTCATCGGTTCGAGCGGGCTGTCACTTGAAGCGAACGGGAAGAAGCAGACGCTCGTCATTAAGCATCTGCATGTGCTTCCGCCTCGGTCGGCATCAAATTTGTGAGTTGCGCTGTGTAGACTCGTCCCGATGGTTGTACAAGGAACGCACGTCATGCCTGCACGCGCAGTCCGACGCGTCGTTCTTGCGCAGCCGCGAGAACGATGCCTCCAAGTGCGAGATGCACGCTGCGCTCATCGGTGCTAACAAATCACAGTAAAGCTGGTACGTGGACGAGCTATCGCCAAACAGTTTACTTGCATTTCCGCACCAATCGCAAATCATGTAATTTCGGTTTCGTTTTCGCAGACAGTATTGCCTGAATTTGCCGGCCTAAGGTGACCTCAGAACTATGCGAATGGTGTTGCCGGAGATTTTATCGATCAGCGAACTTTGTATTTGGCGAGCGATCTCTTGAAATGTCAGAAGATAGGCAAGGACTGGGATTGCGCAGATCGAGTGGTATGTGCGTTGACAACTGCGATGCCATGCTGAGTGATGATCTCAAGTGGCTTAGCAACGAATCCAGCCACGATCAGCAGTAAGAGCTCTATAATGCATGCAACAATTCCTGATCGTTCGACAGTTCTTCTACAGTGCTTCGATTGACGTAAATGGCTTTGATGTCGCTGAAGGATTGACTCCACCTGGTGGACGTTCGGTTGCAGATCTGCCACGAGCTTGCTGGTGCTCATGCACAGCGACAGCCGATCTTCAATTGCCACAAACACGCAACGTCACTGGCTAGGATTTTGTGCAGCGTCGGAACTGCGAGATAGCAGCGCGGTCATAGCCGAAGTTTGAATGTGGCAATGCATACCCGACTTGTGAGGTAGCTGGAGGTTTAAGCCGAAGCAAGAATAGTGGATGGCCGAAAGTGCGATAACAGCCTGACGATGCCGTCATACGTCGTTGTCACTCCAGTGCGCGTCGCGGGACGAGTGCGGCGCACGCTGTGTGGCGAGCGCGACATACCGAGAACGTCAGGGTCCTGGGCTGCCGAAGGTCAGGTGCAGTAGTATACCCACCGTGACTGCGCAATGGTACAAGGCCAGGGCGTGAAGAGTTTGTCTCTACTGCCACCGGCTCATTCTCGATCCGCCGCTCTTGCTGCTGAGCTACGATCAGCATGAGTGTGGTGGTTCGCAACGTTGCGGTAACAGTTCTTGCGATGCGCGTATGTACTCAGCAGCAGGCCAAAGAAGACGGGATCAACGCTGTGTGCCGGTGATAGGTGTGGCCGGGTTGAGCAGCATAGACAAGGGCCAGAGAGACGGCGATGGGGACTTTGCAGGCCGTGGTCATGCGGCGCTATGTGTGGATGGCCCTTAGGCGACCCATGCTATCCACTAGTGCGTGCGCTAGCTGTTTACCCCAGATCCCGAAGAAGCTAGCCTCCTTTCCTGCCGTCGTCCAAGCTCTGCAGGCTCAACCTTGAATTTCCTGGGGAAGTTTGCAGGCCTTGCAACCCTCACCGATGTCAGCGCGAGCAGCTACCCGTGTGTGCAAAAGCAATTGGAGTCGGCCGGCGGTGCTGAGTGGAGTGCTGGTGTTGCGTAGCGTGCTGTCAGTAGTCGTCCGTTCCCATAGCCGGGCGCTTGACGGCAGCAGATACATGGGTCGTGTATGCGAGCCCCATTGTTGTGCGCGCATCTCGCAGCACCATCATCGTTCGTCGGTGTCTGTGGCAGGCTCTTGAAACTCCATGTCGGGAGCCAGAGCATGGTCGTGCCTAGACCCGTGCAATCTTCAGGAACGAGCAGCGACGGTATTGTCTTTTGCTAATTAATATGGAACTGGCAGGCCATTGGAGCTCGACAATCTATCTCCGCCAGGCGAAATGAAGCCGGCCCCGTCTGGAATGTATTATAGATCCAGCGGCTTCATAGTTGGGGCAGATTCCACTAATAAAGTAGGCCATGTGTGTAGAGCAGCTGGTAGAGAGGACGAGTTGATACAGAGCCGAGGCCATAGCTGTGGGCCCCTGGCGCACTTGCTGCAGCCAAGCCACGAAGCGTCTTGAAGGCGACGCTGCTGATCGCAGACGCACATCGCTGCCTCTTGCGACGAGCATGTAGAGGCGAGGGTAGAGCAACGGAAGTACTCCGGAGAAGACCCCTGCGCCAGAGAGGCCGTTTGCTGGAGGATCCACTTTCCTAGAGGCCCTGGTGCTTGCAGGCCCGTCGTCGAACGACCTGGGGCGCTGGCCAGTTGCATGACACACTCGCCGGCTAGCTCCAAAGCTTTACGAGCCGTGAAGTCTGGGGATCTGCTTACAATTCTATAACGCCGCCTGCGTCGTGCCTGTTCTTAACATCTCCAACAGACATCGCCACAGCTTGTCCGTGTCCGACTTGCTTTGTGTACTTGTTGACTCTCGTTGCTCATCTACTGTTGGTAGCTCTCGTCCCGCGAACCTTGGCCCGTGCCCGATTCCCCAGACTCGGCCTGCTTCTGCAACCCCGGCCAATCGTTGCGCGGTCGCCCAATTGCTCTGCCCGGCACCGAAGGTTGTGTCTGCGCTGTAATCTAGCCTTTTGGGCCGTACCAGCAAAAAGCCGCCGGCGCCTCCAGCAGCACCGCTGGTACAGACGCTTACATCAAGGCTGGACCCTCGTGCTCAACCAGCTCCACCAGCTGCCACTGCCACTGCTTACCACAGCTCCCGCACTGGCTCTACGCATTCCGGGACCAGCGGTAGACCACGTACGTACGCCGACCTATGTACGGACCGATCCAACCAACTCACACGTCCTTTCCCCTGGCTTCTTCCTTCACTCAGCATAGGCTTGCTCTTGTTGCGAGGCCTTGCAGTATCCTTGACTTGCCCACCTTCAACCAAGCTCGACCGCAGTTGGCAATTGACCTTTGCTGTAGATTAGCCACTGTCATCCGAAGCTCCAATTCCATCTTAATATCCCATTGCTACGAGCTTCCCGTCCGCGACGCTGCGTATACAAGCTCATAAACGCTCGTTTCGCAACAAAGGCCTGTACAAGGTACTGTCTTCACTCTTCTGCCCGACCGTGTGGTATCACTCGCTGACATGTACGTGTGTGTTGGCAGCCTCTTTGTATCCATACATCCTTTGTTCCCTCGCAGAGCTTTGTTGGCTCCGCAAGCTACAACGAGCTCGACCTTGGTAGCGCCGACAGCCCGCTGTTAGGTACTTTGAGGCAGCGTGTATTACCCCATCCGACTATTGGCTCATCTGCAAGCTCCCTCGAGGCGATTTTGTTGTTGTCGTGGAACTGGTTGGAGTATTACCAATAACGTACACGATCATGGCCAAAGTAGAAAGCACGAGCCTGCCAGGCCCCGCGAACTCGCCGGGCGACGACTCCAACGGCTCAGGCACCACCAGCAATTGTGAGTAGGAACGAGCGCCAACCAACGCCACGATAGCTAACGACAGCCGCTAATCGCAGCTTCAGCCTCTACCGCAAAGCCCGAAACATCGCCCACGGTCCAGTCCTTCCCCCCACCCAAAAACGACAAGCCCCGGCCTCACGTCTGCACGACATGCACGCGTTCATTTGCACGACTAGAGCATCTAAAGCGACACGAGCGATCACACACAAAAGAGAAGCCATTCGAATGCCCCCAATGCACAAGATGCTTCGCGCGACGCGATCTTCTCCTACGACACCAGCAGAAGCTCCACCAGCAAGGCGCGGCCAACACACGACCCCGGAATGGACGTAGAGAAAGCACCACTGGTCTCCCACCCAACTCGACCGCTCGGGTACGCAAAAACTCCATATCCAGCAACGCCGGCGCTGCCAAGGGCGCTGCCAATATCATGAGGCCGCGCGCCAACACCATCAGTCACATCGATCCGAGCGCCCTCAATAGTTTCCTAGCCACACATGGAACTTCGATAGCTGGCGGCAGGGGCAACCACCCAGGCCATTCACAACATTCAAGTCTGTCGGGCATAAGTCAATTCGACTACAGAGGCATGTCGACAGCTGTCGGCAACCACGGCCAGCATTCAGGTCTACCAAGACTGGACACTCATCTGGGATTTGGTATGGGTGGCGGTCTTCGCACAGCTCCCATTCCAGGAATGGCTGGGCCTGACGACCATGAGCTTGAGAAGTTCTTCGGATCGTCAGCAGCTTCCACCATCAACCCGAACCAGCTGCATCACTTCAACGGAGGCATTGCACTTCCGCAATCGCCCTTTAAGCAATTCGCCAACCCCTTCGCTGGGAACAACCCTATCGAGGAAGACGATTTTGGCTGGGGTATGGGTATTGACAGCTCCATGGTCTTTTCTGGCGCCAACGAGTCGGCTCTCGATGGCTCATCGCCATCAGCCATCAGTACCGCGAGCCAGAGTGGTTTCAACGACATGATGCTAGACGGATCAAGTCAACCAAACTCAGCAGCCATGTGGCACAACCCTCTAGTCACTCATACTAGCATCAACCCAACCGCTTTCACACTCGATGCCATGGCTCCTGTCTTTCCCGAGCTCATGATGGACAATAATACTCCTCAAGAGCTCGGAAACCATGGCGTTCAAAATGATTTCTACTCTTCTACACCACCTCCTTTAGCGGCCATGAGCCCTTCAGCTGGTATACCCGGTATGCCGAATCAGTACTTTCAGACGCCCATGACATTCGCTTCTGATGCCCGCAGCATATCATCTTCCTCCTTCAACGGGAGCGCAAGACACAGCTCTGTATCATCATTTTCTACTGAAACCATCACAGACTCTACGAGGCAAGCTATGATGTTCAACTTGACTCAAGCTATGGGGTACGGTCACGGAGCTCAACGGAGATTCTCCCAACCCGCCATCAGCTCGCCCCTGTCGAACGGTACTACAAAGCCTTCAACACAGGCCGGTATACTCCCAAGTACTGTCGACATTCAGCGCTATGTCAATGCGTACATTCATTATTTCCACCCCCACTTGCCCTTCTTGCACATCCCTACACTTTCCTTCGATACCCCAGCATACACATATCAGCTTCGCTCCGCCGGAAACTACAACCAAGACACCATGGTTGGTGGCGGTGGTTGCCTTATCCTTGCCATGGCTGCGATTGGCGCGTTGTATGAATTTGAGCAAAATGTCGCAAAAGAGCTTTTTGAAGCTGCTAAGAAGCTGATCCTGTTCTACCTTGATGAGCGCCGCAAAGCTGGCCTTTCTGCCGTCAATGGATCCAATGCCGCAAACGACCACATTAACAAACCACCACTTTGGTTGGTGCAAGCCATGCTGCTCAACCTGATCTTCGGCCACAACTGTGGTGACCGACAGGCCGCCGAAGTTGCGAGCACTCATTGCGCGGCGCTCGTCAGCCTCGCAAAAGCTGCTGGGTTGGACAAACCAACAGCTCCGGAGCAAACGTCTTCTAGTCCTCCCAACCACGCAAACGGCGACAATTTGGAAATGCCAGATGGCTCGCCTTCGCAGTACGACCAAAATGCGGATAGCGTGGATGAACATGCTCAATGGATCCAGTGGAAGAAGATCGAAGAGCGTAAGAGAACTTACTTTGCCATCTTCTCCATGTCGAGCTTGCTTGTCTCCGCCTACGCGCATTCACCACGTATCTTGAACTCAGAGATACATCTAGATCTTCCATGCGAAGAGGATCTCTGGTCTGTCGACAACCCCCAAACGTGGGTGGCTATGGGAGGGCCAATGATTGCACAGACTCGGGGTTTGTCTTTCATTTCGGCCATGACATACCTTCTCGAAGCTAGTTCACGAAACACCACCTCACGGATGCGGAATTCTTACCCCCAAGCTTTCGCAGGCGGTCAACCAATGAGCGGACCTTCTGAGAGTGATATCCGGCCCAGCACTTTCGGTTGTTATGTGCTGATTAACGCCATGCACGTCTACATTTGGGAAACTAGGAATAGGCACAATGGACGTCTATGGAAAGCGCAGGAGACCGAGGCCATGCATGCCCAAGTAGAGCCTGCTCTCAAGGCCTGGCAAGTTGCTTGGAGGGCAAACCCAAACCACAGTATCGAGCGTCCCAGCCCGTTCGGTCCTCTTTCCGCTGACTGCATACCACTACTGGACTTGGCCTATGTCAGACTTTTTGTGAACCTTGGCCGCGCTAAGGAGCTTTTGTGGCAACGTGATTTCGATGGAATGGCGAATGAACTCGCCAGAGGCATCGACATTGTTGGTCAAGCTGACGGGACGCCGGAGAGGTTTGCATCTATGGATATCAATGGAGGTTCTCCCGGCCAGATGGGTTCGCAGGATCACATTAGCCCCGGGCATGCAAATGGTTTCTCCAACTCACAGTCTTCAAAACGAGAGAGACATCTCCGAAAGGCAGCTTTCTACGCTGCTGACTCCCTTTCCATGGCCGACAAATTAGGCGCTTCTTATGCCGACTTCACAGCTCGGGAACTACCCAACTCATCCGCATTGTGTACCTTCGACTGCGCCCAGGTCCTTGCTGAGTGGGTTGCAACTGTTCAAGATCGTGTTGGTCGTCACATGGGTGTGCTTGGCAGAGACGAGATTGATTTCTCGAGCGTGCCAGCGGTTGTATTGCTTGAAGAGGAGGACATCAAGTTACTACAGAAGATTTCCGACATCCTTCATCACGCGGACATGAAGCTAGCTTATGACATCTCTTCCAACAACCTACCGATGCTTGGTGGTCTTTCCAACCTCGGGCATTGCGGTTATGGTACAAAGTTGCTGATGGTGACGGCTTACATGCTGTCAAAGGCGGCTGTTTGGCCTGGTAAGTTTATCACCTCGAAAGGCTTATATACCTGCTAATAATATCTTAGTCACGCATGTTCAAGCCCGCGCACTCGAATCGCACGCCCACCATATCAGCCAGCGTGCAGAAAACTCGCTTCACATACAGTAAATATCCAATCGTTCTGGACCTGTACAGTACCACGCTTCCTTCAGCTGTCGGTTTTCGTAATGGGGTTTCCACCGACGACCACAGCCTCATTTCTTTGCCGGACTTCTTGTATAGCTTACTTCCTCACTCTGGATTGGCTGCATTGCCTTTGTGGCTCAGCGGTACTCGCAGCTGCGCGTCTCTCGGAACATTATTCCAATGTGAGTAATCTTTTGGATGCGTGCAGATACGACAGTGTCTACTCTGTCTTGACCGCATCGTTATCAACGCTGCTATTCCTTTTCCTTACTTTTGGGCGTTTGCACAGGATGCGCGGCGCTTCACTTTATTTTGGATCTTCCGGGTCACTATGGAGAACTTTTCTGTATAAATGGTGCTATCTATGGAGTCGCACGGCTGGCGAGCAATAGCGGCGCAAGCGGTGAGGGTTGTACTGCACTAAGAAACGATGCTACGAACAATCCTTACGAGAACTTGGGATTCGGTTATAGGGTATGGGTGGCGCATCAGGGACAATGGGTCAAAAAGTCAATTTTGATCACGCAGCCAGGAGAAAGTCGCTACAGACTAATGAGAAAACATACATCACTCCTTGCATGCCTTCTCCACGCTTAGTCTCTCCGTGACGTGTCACTGGTGCTTCAGACAACGCTTCTCCGCCATACGCTCAATACCACGTGCACGCCCCCCAGACGTTTTACACCGTCCCGCTAGCGGGTGGCTGGCGACCATAGCGTCTGGCGTCGTTCTCGAACCAGATCTTTTTACTGCAACGCGGCGACGCCGTTTGAACCTAAACATAGTTAAAAGCCACCTGAGCAAAAATCAGATCTGGAGCCCATTTACGTGGTACAGCCAGATCGGATACCCGTTAAATCAAATTGCTTCTTCCATCCCCGATTTCTCCAACTCAAAGCAATGAACTACAAACCCAAACTCTCCCACTGCACGTGTACAGATTACAATTAGTCCTCTAGATCGGCCAACCACTCCGTTACCATCACCATTCCAGCCTAAGCCTCACAGCCTCACTCACTTAACCCAAATGATGACAACCAAATTAACATTGAGAGAGAAAAAACCGCTCGTATGTAGATCGAACCTAACCCAACTAATCGCCTGGTTCCAATCGGCAACGCGTGTCCGAGACAGTTGCATTCGCAAGGCTTGACATTCAGCGCCTTTTACGGACGCCCGCGGATGCGCTCGGATGGTCGATCTGAGAGACGCCGCCGCCGCCGCATGTACATCGGAGTCTTCTCCGGATTAGAATGGCCGATCATGGGACTGGAATAGCTTTTGGGATGGTGGGGAACAGGGTCAGGGTTTGGGGAAGAAATGGAGGACCGCGCTGTTCCTGGATTGAGAGGCCGGCTTGGTACGTCTCTTGATGTTCCATCGTGGGTGTGGGTAGGGCCGATGGGTTGCGTGGCAATAGGGCGCAGAAGCGGAGTGGGTATTGATGGGTAGCGCAGGATTAGATTGATTTGGATGATGAAGGCATGAAATAGGGAAATTCGTGTATGCTTGGAAGGCAGATGTTCGCTGCTTTACGTACGTACGCAGTGTAGGTATTGTGTGCGCGAGATTTGGGTAGTTCTTCGGCATGCGGTTGGCTTGATGGACTGCGCGCTGACTAACCGCGACAACTGGAGGTCAGAACCCATTTCTCGACTCCGTAATAGTAACACCCTCTCCATCGCAAGTTTTGTCTCAGCGAAGGATGAGGTGTAAGAAACATCGTTCGCGACTACTTGCCGTGAGGTGTGCTCAAAGGCGCGCGACGCGTTGATTGGCTAATTTTGGAGCTTGGGTCGCGTAGACCTTCCGATCTCACTCATCCTTCACGACAACCACAATCGCAGTACCGTCTAAACAGCTCACTTGTCATCAACTTTGATTAGAAACCAGTGCATCAAACAAGTCCACGGTGTTCATTGTGAAGATGTCACGGCCAGCAGCGCGGAAAGCCGCACCTAAGGGGGAATACATTGAGACCGTATGTCTACCTCCTCATAAACAATTGACATCAACAACTATCCCACGTACTCTTTGCTCTTCGCCGTCACCACCACCTTCACTGCGTCGATTTCTGATGATCGCATAGCGTATAAATTGTCTTATACTAACTCCTCTCCACAGGACTCTGGCAACAAAGTTTCGAGGCGAAGCGCCATCACCGGAACAGCCAACATCACACTAGGAGGCCGCACCGTCATTATGGCAGACGTTCAACTGCGTGGCGACCTTCACCCTACGCGCTCTGCACCCTCTTCTTCGGGGAAAGATGTAACACCGACTAGCATCAGTATCGGGCGGTGTACGGTGATTAGCCAGGGAAGCGTGATTAAGCCACCAAGTCGGATCAGCAGAGGCCAGGTGCATTATTACCCTATGAAGATTGGAGACAATGTTTTTGTTGGTATGTTGACATCATTCTTCTAATTTTTACTTGCTGCGTCTCGTCTAAGATGGGGTAAGTCTTGCGAACGGCTGAGCTGAACAAGTTGCGCAGGACCAAACTCGACTATACAAGCTATCTCCATTTCCTCACATGTGCATATTGGCCAGCACTGCAGTATCGGTGCTTTTGCCATCATTAAGGAGAACGTCAAGATACTGCCGCATACTGTCGTGCCACCGAATATGGTAATCGCGTCGGGATCTGTGGTTGGGGGCCAGCCGGCGAGGGTAATAGGTGATGTAGGGGAGGGGTGGGGTGTTAGTGGAGGAGGCGGTGGTGGATTGGGTGTTGGCGGTGGTGGCGAGGAGAAGTGGGTAGAAGGTGGAGATCTGAGGGAGCTGGTCAGGAGTATCAGATGACGGGGAATATGGGTGTTCGCGAAGATGTGCTACAAGGACTGGGATGACGAAAAGAGAAGGTTGGGATGATATTCGTATGCATCAATGTCTGTTCTCTAGGTATGGCGCTATAAAGTTCTGAGTTTCTTCGAACTAGAAGCTTACCACATGAGAAGGTTAGGTTCTATCCCAAGCAGGTCCAAGGGGAGCAAGTTGATAAGTCAGGATGCGATATAATAGCTAGCCCGTGTCTTGCGAGGTTCAACGACGTTGTAGATCATCAATGTCACTGAAATATCATCTCTTCCTTGAATATATACCCCACAAATAACCTCTTCTTCATGAAATGGGGGAGAGACGTTCGGCTGCAAAGACGTAACGAATGACAGAGTATGGAATAATCCGATCGCGAGAGTCAATCGCTATATCCAACGTGTTGCTCCTGTTCCCATTATGGTTTGATGTCACCGTTTTGGTATTACCAAGATTGTGATCGTCCTCTGATCATACCATACTAGTCTATGCGAGATAGCACGAAATCCGCACTGAATCAATGGGCATCGCCGCCCAATCTCTAAATGAGTCGTAGCACCTATATGGCCGAGATCACTTCAGTGCACGTGGCGCTCATATCGATCGCAGCGAAGCGTCTCCATTCTCTATCTCAGCCAGTACTAAAGGGCCGTTTATAGCGGAAATGTCTGTTACTAGCTACACCATTTCTTGGTTCTTCTGCGCTTTGACCTCCATAGTAGTTAGCTCAAACTCCCTCTTCTGGTAGATACCCTGAGTGTCCCACGAGTCGGGATAGGCCTCGCTTTTCGTGTCAACAGTAGTTCGTCCATTGGAGTAGATGTGCGCTTTGTGTGTAGATTTAGTGCCGATGGTCGGGCCAGGGCCGAAACCGAAACCGAAGAGAGATGGGACTCTGTGTGATATTAGTGATTCTGCGATGATGAAAGCAGCGAGTAAAGACGTACCGGCTGCGTCGTTGTGTCCCTTCTGCAGTGGACGCAAGCTTCTTTGAAGTAAGAGAAGTCTTGATGTCCCGCAAAAGAGGTCTCAAGACAGGTATACACTGAACAATGATGGTGCCGACGATCTCAGAGGAATACCAGATGTTGGAGTGCGCGTTGCGCCAAAAGTACCACTCGTCCTTCTCGTTGCCTTCGTCTTTCCAACCTGTACGTACAGCGGAAACGACTGCGACCAACATTCCCTATCCGAAAATTAGTGATTGTGTTTTGAGACTGAACTAACAACAACGTACCAGACTCATAGCAACGCAAAGCCCAACCTTTTCCACTCTGCGCATGTCGAGGTTCCATGTGATGACCCAGGGGAAGACAGCGAGTATAAAGTCCATGATGATGTTGTAAACATTGCCACCTTCCTTGAAATCGTCTCTGAATTTCCCGTCGAGGCAAAAGTCGAGGCGGTACCAGACGTCGTAGGATGGCTTCTCGCAGATCTTCGCCCATTGTAGAACGACCTTGGCCACCATGTAAGCATTCATACTGCCGATGATGAACCATAGTATCCATTGACCCCAGTTCTTTGTCAGCTTCAGTAGAGTGACAGCGAAAGCCGATTTCGTGAGGGATTGGTTGATCAGGGTTCCACAGGAAGTAATGTTGATGAGTATGTGCATGCGATCGTCCCATTTGTCTGCCACATAGCCCGTGGCGAACTCGGTGGTTATTATGGAGTTGTTGACAGCTAGTATGACCTATAACACCGTCAGCTACCGTCATCTATAGACAGTACATATGCTTACCCATGAGATAAGGAGAATATGATCATCCCACCAGAGACCATGGCGACGAGTGATCTTGATCCATATCCGAAGCGCGAGGAAGAGCGATGCGCCAGCGAAGAGTGTCCATAGTCCAATGTTCAGCTGAAGTGAAGGATCCACGTAATGGTGACCAGAATCATCGTGGTTTCGACGGGAGATCATCTTTTACCCAGCGGTCGGAACGGGATACGGCATAGAAGCGAAATGAAGAAAAACCAAAAAGAGCGTGATGTAGTCGCAGACCTACAAAGTTTAAAGAACGAACGAACGAATGCTCCGGCACTCTGCACTGGATGACCGGGGTGGTGAAGAGAAGGAACGACAGACAAGAAGCGCCGTAAAGTGCGAAGCGGCACAGCTAGATCAACCTTTGCACATCCCCGTGCAAGGATTACACGGATTTCCTGTTGTTAGTACTGATCACAGCCCAGCCAACATCAATCTGCTTGAGATTCCAGACTCGGAGGTTTTGAAATGAGTCCCATCCAGAAGGACGATTGGTGGAACCACTATCCCGGTAGTAGTCAAGCCTCGGGCGGCGTCACACGATAACAGCTGTGAAATCCGATGGATCCTGGGGAAGGCCGTATTTACTAACTGAAATAGAAACTAGCTGATGAGGCGCACATGGCGTGGGCTGACGCGGAAGCTCCCCGTTGTTTAGACCCGTTGGAAGAAGAAACAGAAACTGTTCGTAAGGTCTTTAAGCGATGTTTTGACATATAGATCAGCGTTGGCCATAGCTACTGCCACGCGGTATGACAAGGTTTCACAGATATGCGAAACATGGAGAATGCCGTGTATACATCGCAAAGGCGTGCGGGCGTTGCTGCGAACTGGCCAAGTGCCGGATACGCCACTGCAACTGTGTACTGGCGGAGAATTCGCAATCCCAAGTAATCCCTGGAGCGGCTCGAAATTAAATCGACGCATTGCATCACGATGCCAGCTGCGCCGAGCGGATGGTAAGGGATGGGAAGCCCCCAGGAATACCGCAGTTATGCCGTCCAGTAATGACCAGCATCCCCAGCGCGCAGACTTTGCTGTTGGGATATTTTGGCAGTGCTGAACGCGAATTCGATAAAACGCGAGGAAGGGGTCGCGAGGAAGGGGGAGAGAGGCCTGTTTCAAGTTGACAGATGCCAAGTTCAACAACCGATGCGCTATTTCCAAACGGGTAAGGCATATCCGAAGGCATGAACATGGACGTCATCGTGTCGGGCGTGCCACGAACACCTCCCTTCTCCTTTCTCAGTTCAGCGTCCCAATTTCAAGGCATGCTTTCAAATCTACATCGGATGTAAACACGCGATTAGCGGAGGTCGGATCAGAACACTACAGCAAGCTCAAAAGTGTGCCTAATACTGATCCTAATGGCAGGGAAATTACAATCGGAAGTATGCAAGATTCCTCCACACCCGAGGCTTGAAGGGAAGACTACAGTGTGTATAATGGAACTTATTGTTCCGCGATCCAGTCCTAATCTGTCCCTTGCTCTCATCCTGTTTTCCTGTCAGCTTCTTGAGATGTTCTTTCCGTCTTCCGGCTTTTGCAATTTGTCATTTTTTCTAGGCATGTAGCATGCTTTCAGGGCGTACAGTTGTCAATGCAGCGAAGGGCATAAGCCGTTTATCACACCCATGGTTGGACAACAATCTTCTTGCCGCTGACTCCGCTGTGCAATTTCTCGATACCCTCGGCGACGTTGTCCAAGCCGCCGATGACTTCCGCTGGAACACCCTTTAGTACTCCATTCTTGATAGCTTTTTCCAGAAACCCGCCACGCGCGAGGAAATACTCATGCCACTCTACATTCTCCGGTGCATGCGTAGAGAAACGATGAAATTGCGTCGTAATCCCTTCGGGGAAGTCTTCTGCCTTCATACCCGTCATAACCAGCGGCAGTAAGGTAAGGATGTTTGCCTTCGTAACTGGCTCGTCTACTGGGGCGAGTATCTTGACAAGAGTGGATAGTGAGGGCTTGAGTGCGATGGTATCAAACCAGTAATGAATAGGAAAGAGATCGCGGATTGCACCAACGGTTGCTGGGTCGCTGTGGTCGAAGACATAGTCTGCACCACAGTCGTGGAGAAGATCAAAATTGTGTGGTGAACTTGTACTGATGACGGTGTATCCGGCTGTTTTCGCGTAGGAGATGGATAGAGATCCCATAGCGGAAGATCCTCCCCAGATAAGAATCTTCTTTTCCTGTTCGCCTTCCGGCAGCGAAGAGGCTGGTATAGTGGGGCGATGCATGTTCAGTGTTGATGTGGCGAACAAGGCTCCTGGAGGCGTGTACGAAGCCAGAGTTACAGCTTGGGTGAACTCAGTGTCGCCAATCTGGCATGATGCTTAGCAAAGAAACGGTCTGATCAGGCTCAGTCCACTTACTTCAACGACTTCAGACTCATCAACGATGGTGAAGCGCTGCAGGCCACCGTACTTAGCCTTCTTGTGCGAGAAGATCTTTGTGCCGCACACTATCCGATCGCCAATGGTGACATTGCTCACGCCGGGTCCGATACCCTCCACAACACCTGCAACAGGACTACCGAGGACTGCAGGATATTCTACAGGGATCATTGAGAACTTCGCACATTTTGCATCTGCTGGTTGTATGGCGCAGGCGTGAACCTTGACAAGTACCTCGCCCTCTCCTGGCTCTGCTAGATCAGCATCGCAGACGCGAAATTCACCCTTTGCAGTTTCCAAAAATGCAGCTCGGTTGCTCATTCTGAGAGCTGATGTGGATTTGTGCGAAGCTTAAAATCGAGTCGACAGTAGTAGACTATTCTCAACGGCACGAGTTTGATGAATTCGTGACCTAGGTAGATACCGGCAATCATATTGTTATATACTTACCTAGGTCTTCTTATCAATCTTTGCAAAAGGGTGGTGTTTAGTGTGTAAGCTGACTGCAGGAGTTTCGCAGAATGTATCCGAATACGGAATCGGCCTTTGGATATATTGGCTTGTGAAAGTGCGATGGAAGGCACCTGCATCTTGGGTTGTCCTTGACTTTAATTGCACCTGATCGACCTCATACTTTACAACTCCCGTCGACCTTGAAAGCTAAGTATGGGATTGTCATCTATCGAGATAGGATCCGAAGAGGTAGGTGGATGGTTCAGATAGCTATATTTGTCGACGCGAATAAGCACGCTAATCATCTGGTGTCAGACCCCCGCATGGCCCCTGGACTCGCTTGTCATTTTGCACTCTCAAGCTCAATCCTTCGGCTTCACAGCTTCTCTTGCAACTCACGTCCCGCCGACTCGAAATATCTGTTCACGCGATCGGCCCGACGCGATCGTCAATACCTCCGACTCGTTACCGAGATTGGTAATGATAGCCACGGCTAGCATAACGTCCATTCGAGATGTATCCATACCGAACGAATGCAATTTGGATTAGACCAGGACCCAAGGTCTATGTGCGACGAAAAAATGTGTTCAGTCACGATGTGTTGCCTGAGGAGGATGAGCTGAATTACGATCTGCTTCAGATTGACGGACGCTGGAGTTTTGACCTAATCGAAGACGATGGTGAGGAATATGGAACCAGCTATGATGCGCATTAAAACAATGGGCTCAACTTCAAAACGTCCACCGAAATTAACGTCAAGCGCTATGTTGCCATAAGCACTGTATCTCGATGTTTAAGAGCTGGCTGCATCTCCTGTAAGTTTCTATATCGTGGTCTTCAGATGGTTGAAGGTGAAAGAGCCCTTCAAAGCAAGTTTCTTGGTGGCATGCGGGTTAGTGTATCGACTCATGGAAACCCTGTTGTTCGCATCAGTGGTAGAGACACTAATGACGAGATGTATTATTCTACTCAACGTACGATATCTTCGCAATATGACAGTCTATAAGTTGACAACAACAGGACGGAGGCAATTTAACATACAGAGAGCGTCCTCTTCTCTCGGTTCTACCTGAGGGTCGCTTGGCGCTAAGACTTACATTCGTTCTGACTCAGTTTTATGGGTTGGCTAAAGACCGCACATTGTACCAGAATCAGATTCTGATATGTGCTTTCTTCGATTGAGGAGCTGGTTGCACGACTACCAAAATAATCACCCTTGTGCCAGACCCGCACCTCTTCTCGGCTCAAATTACACAAACGACTCATAGACGCGAGAAATTCTAAATGTGTTTGTCTCCGTGAAACCTGAGACTTCTGTTGCTGGATGTGCCATACGCTATGCTATCGCACTGCTGGAGAAATCCGAACATTGCAAATCTTTGTGTGACCCGAATACATATCCGCAAGCAGCACTTGAAATCCATATATTGGAAAACATCCCTAAAACCTTCTAGGACACGATCATTGTAACTCCCTGACTGGGTCTGGGCTTTTCGTGGATAGGTTTAATTTGTATTGTACAAGACGATGTGGGCGACTGGGCTGAAGAATCGTCCAGAATGTCCCACATTTACGCTAACGTGGCTCCTAAAATGGCCGCATCCGCTGCAGATGAACCCACGGAAGGCTTTTTGGGGGTGCGACGTAATCGAACTGGAGACGTGAACCCCACCGCGGAACCAAACCTGCCCCTGCGCATTCAGAAAGACTTTCGTATCGCTACTCGCTACTCAAGACTCTCGCTCAATTGAGACTCACGTAAGCTCGACTATGTTAGCAATTCCACGTCCTTCCGACATTCCTATTGCACTAAGGTATGCACAGACTAGTGCAATATAGACAAGGGTAACTTGCAATGGAGAACAGAAAGGCTGGAAGGCATGCATTGGTTTCTAGCAGCTATGTTCGATGACACTATTTCAGGAACAGCCTTCATCAATCACGTCTTATCGCCCGCTTTATTGTAGCAAGTTCATCACCCATGTTCTCAGAGGACCGAAACGCCCTCACATCTAGTTACCAACGGAGAGCAGAAGTGTCTCGTACTTCTGCTTCCAGTAGCGGACATCGTTACCACCACTAACACCAGATCCTACGCCGTTGGTCTTGGAGACTTTGGCTTCAGCAAGCTCCAGTTCCAGCTTGTTGATAGTCGCGTCCCTCTCAACGACGTCTCGGCGCAACTGATCAGCCTTCTTGTAGGTGGGAAGCATTTCCTTGTACTCCTTATAAGAGCGCTATATAGCAAGTCAGTATTAGTTGATAATCGTTTGCTGACCGGCTGCTTACCTTGGCCAAATCAGTCCACTCCTGTAGAGCGATTTCGAGATCCTCAATCTTCTTATCTTGACCACGAATTGTCTCCTCATCGTTTGGAGACGAAGAGCCGCCTACGGCAGATGAAGTGCTCTTGGAAGCCTTGAGCTCTTCGATCATTGCCTTGAGTTTGGTGTTCTCACTCTTGAGAAGCTCCGATGTCTGGACAGCCATCCTGTTCTCTTTCATCTTGTTGAGAAGTTTGTTGTGAGCTGATTCTAACTGCTCAACTTCCTGGTCTAAATCTTCAACTTTCTTCAGAAGACCTTCTACCTTGGTGTTGGCCTTGCTCTCCTCGTTCTTGCTAGCGTCCAATTCAGCACTGAGACTGCTTACTTGTTCGGACAAGGTTGATTTCTCTTGGCTGAGCCCAGTAATCTGTTCCTCGAGGTTGGCAAGCTTGATGAGGCGCTGCTGCAGCTCGACATTCTCCTTCTGGTGACGTTCGAGATCAATCTTCAGGCCTTCAATTTGCTTGGTTTGCTCGTTGAGTTTCTACGAATACGTTAGTATGGTTTGTTAGACTTGCTATAGCAACATTACTTACCGTAAAGGTCTGTGCATGCTCAGCCGCCTGGTGGGCGTACTTCTCATTCAACACCTTGTTCTCTTTCTTGGACTTATCAGCATCGAGCCTGGCAGTGCTCTCGCCTCCCTTCAGCTGGCTGATCATGGTGTTCAAAGCGGTTGTCTTTTGAGTTTCCTTTGCCAATAGGTCGGCAGTCGATTTCAGCTGGGTAGTGAATCGATCAGTAATCTCCTGCTCTGAAGACTTCATCTTAGTCTGAACGTCTTGGAGAGCTTTGCGCAGGGTGTCGCTCTCAGCGAGAAGCTGCTTCTTGGAGTCTACAAGAGTCTCAAGCTCCTTCTCTATACCGGTCACTTTGCGGAGATCTTCAGCCTTCGTTGAGCGCTCCTCCTCCAACAGCTGCATGTATTTGTCGATCTCCGTACGGAAGTTGCCCTTCTCGAGTGTGAGACGTGAAACGCGCTCCTGGAGGTCTTCGAGCTCCTTGAGCTTGCTGGAGGTCTGCTCCTTGTACGCAAGGAAAGCCTCTTGGTGCTCAAGAATGAGATTGTGCTGGATGTTGACCTATGTTGTGTATGACGTTAGTCGATCTCTCACAGATACAAAGAGTCTTCTGAGTATCGCTGACCTTCTTATGCTGAATATTCAGTTCATCTTGTGTGTCTTTGATGGCCTCGTTCACCATTGAGCTGTGGTACAAGCTCATGTTGTCGCGCTGTTTCTCAAGGAATGCGGGCAACGCTTCCTTGGCCTCATTTGCCGCAGCAAAAAGCTGTTCCAACTCATCCCAGAGGTCGTTGAGAGTCGAAGTGTTCGCATCTGGCAACGCTTCACGGATCAGCTCTAGCAGTCGGCGCGTGTTGGTGACAGTGGTTGAGACAGTTCTGGAGATTTTTTTGGCGTGTTTGGCAACTTCCTCCTTTAAGACGTTACCCTGGGAAATGGCGAGTTGTGCATCGGCGTTGTGATGAGCTACGTCGAGAGCGACATGGCCGGTCTTTAACGCGGCGATCTGCTCTTTGGTGGCCATGGCGGTATCGGCAGTGGGAACGGCAGCGACGGATGCGGATGCGGCCAATGCTGCTTTCCTCCGCAAAGGATCAGCATACTTGGAGTGTCCGAGGGAAATCGGGCCGCTGTAAGACTGTGCAGACGCCATTATTGGACGTATTGCTACACACAACGGTCAGCCAGAGCCTACCGTGCTACACTCCACGGATGACATGCCTGGATAGCTGATCTATGACTTACGATGGACGATAGAGAATCGCAAGAGTTTGGTACGGCTCAGTTTGCAGCTTCGGAGTGCGGTCTTGTTGTTGGTGGGGTGAAGCTGACGAAGGTTTTGTTGATAGAAAATGGAGGGCAGTCGCGCTTCGCATCACGGCAGCAACTCAGGTAGGTGCTCTCACCACTTAAGCGAGTTGGTGAGAGAGACGCCGACAGACGTGGCCTAATCAAAAACATGTTTCCTCACGGTGAAGTGACGATCAAAGGAACACATGTATCAACTACTATCTCACAACTTGCCATGTGCTAGGAGAGCATGTGACAGGTGAGACTGCCGTTACCTTTTTTCAGCCTCACAGCTGTCAAAAAGACCTGTCCATATTGAGGCCACGAAGTTGGTAATAACAGACATTAATGAGAGCATATTGTCGCGGAAATTTATGATGCTGATAGTATGCCTGACTACCAGCCAGGCCGGAAAATGAAGAATTTAAAACAATAGAGGAAGTAGCAGGAATCAAAAGAGAGCGAGACATGAATGCTGATGAAAATGTGGAAATTGACCTCGGGAATAAGAGATGTAAACAACGACTCTCCTCGTTCTTGAAGCAGCCAACTGATGGCACCACCAGATGCGCTCAGCTTCAGGTATCCATTGGTGGTGGCGGCAATCCTTTAGATGTAGTTATCGCATGTTATCAAGCAGGTATGACCAGATTGCAAATCACAAAACGCTGACTGGGGAGGTTTGACTTGTGGAGAGAGCAAGATGTGCAGTCCCCTCCAGGACTTTACCTTGTCGTCTCCACAACCCGCCAAGCTGCATGTGGAACCCAACACGGAATAGCACCATGGCTAACTTGAAATACGATCAACTTCCCCTCAAAGAAACAAAAAGTGCTGACAGAGCTGGTGGCAAGACACGGCTTAAGCCTCGGTTACTGGGCTGAGCACAAAAAGCAAAAGGCGCGTCATGAAGCTCGCCTGTCAAACCAGGAAGACGGGTCAGGTTCCCATTCGACGTTTACTGTGTGACGGTCACCTCGGTTCGAGATGGGTCAGGGTCGATTGCAGTTTGTCGTGGCAGGCGTGCAGAAGGCATATTTTTGGTCTTCATCGAGTCGATTCAAGGTGGGACACGCAAGTTCCAGACACTCAGGCTCCCGGATACCCGCGCAAAACACGGTCCACCCCTTTGAGGAGTGTTGGAACGGAGCTAGTTCACTGTGGTTTTGGTGAGGCTCGTGGAATGTGTTGCAGTGGGTCGATTAGGGGGCTCCTGGCTATTTATCCACCTGCGCATGGGGAACGGCCGGTTGAACCATGCGAGTGGGGGTTTGGAGAATGTTACCTTGAGGCGAGACTGGTAAAGTTGAGGTGAATAGGGCCGTACAGCAGACTCAGTGCAGAGGCACGATCACACGCAGCTGGGGAGAACGGCCGAATCGTGGCGTCTTGGACAAGCATTGGAGGGTTGGGGTGGGTCCACTTTCGGAGGTATGGTTGCGGAAAGAGCCGCCATTCAGTGCCTGAAACACAGCTTAAGCTGTACCTAGGCATCTACTCGCCTGCCCTGCAGCATCTGCGTCCAAGTCGACATGGAAGCATGAAGGATTCTGAGGAGAAGGCAGGCAAAAGCTGGCGTTGCAGAGCACGAGCCGGTAGAAACGGCTAGCCATGTTGTACTCGCCTGGTGCCCTGCTAGCAGCGTACAATATCGGCATGCCCCCCTACCGCGGACCAGTGAAACGTTGAGGCACCGGTAGAGGTCCGAAGCATCAGGTTGGGGAGTGAAATTCTAGTCATGTTTCAATGCGACGGCAGCAGGCTTCCTAGCCGGGGGAGTAGTCGTGTAATAGACTTGGATGCAGCGGGAATCGATCGTCACGCCAACTTGCCGTCTCGTGGCTTTCACGTCGACCATCACGTTGCTGCTGCAGATCGCAGCCCAAAGCAGGATGGACATCCGAACGCGTCGGGCCTGCGCACGCTCGACCTGCCCTTGGCTGCCGTGTCGCGGGAAAGACATTTAATATCACCCTGCCCGCCCAGCTGGGTCCGCGAACGGTGCAGATCAGGGATTCTTCGGCAAAGCACCTGGGCACGTTATTTCTTAGACCAGTCCCATACCGTCCCGGCTGTTTCTGTCGTCTTCTTAGCTTCTTAGTCGTGCATAGTGTCTCGTTTGCTGTGCCTGTTCATTGACATAGACTTTTTGCTTCTTCGTCCCTCGTTCTGTCGCGCACCCCATTGCCTAGTTGCCCTCACTAGCACCCTCCACAACACCAGTTGACTGCACCCCCTCCCGACATCCGGTAGCGTCACCCTCCTTCATTCCAATTACCATACGCGAGTCACGCAGGCTAAGACCATAGCTGACACCAGAAGTAGGCCTCGACTGCAACTTCGCTACAGGACTCCGTGTATGCTCGTAGCCCATCTCTAGCGTGTCGCGACTTCCTCCTCTCCATCACAGCTGCCTCTAGCTTTCTCTACCACGTCACTCTCTGCCATTACATGGCACCGGCAATAATGTGCTTCGGACGAAAACCCTCTGCTACCGACCCGGAGTCCAGGAAGAATGCCGAGATCGAGAAGAATCTCCGAGGCGACCGGAAGCGGGCTGAGCGCGAGGTGAAGCTGTTGCTACTCGGTATGCATGTCAATTAGGAATCCGGTGATGCAGCGTGACTGAGACAAGAGTGCAGGTGCCGGTGAGAGCGGCAAATCAACCGTCCTCAAGCAGATGCGCATCATCAACGCTGGCGGCTTCCAGAGTCTTGAGCGCAAAACATGGCGGGCTACCATCTTCAACAACTTGGTCTCGGCCTTCCAGACCATCTACGCGGCCATGCAAGAAGACGACATAGACTTTGAGGACGACGACAACATTGTACGCTCAGCCGTCGCCTGCCCAAGAACAATGCTAACAAACCGCAGCGGTATTCCGAGATGGTCAACTCTGCGCCCGACATTGGCACCGAGGAGCCCATGCCCGAGGAGTTCTACACAGCCTTCAATTCCCTCTGGGCCGACAAGGGCGTGCAGCTCACCATACTCAAGGGCAACCAGTATGCGCTGCACGACAACTTGAATTAGTACGTCATGTATGGCCTACTCGACTACCCCGACTAACAGTCTCAGCTTCTTCCAGAACATCGACCGCCTGTTCCAAAAGGACTTCCTCCCCACCGACCAAGACATCCTGCGCACGCGATTACGGACAACCGGTATCTCCGAGACCATCTTTGAGCTGGGCAACCTGACATACAAGATGGTCGACGTTGGTGGCCAGCGCTCAGAGCGAAAGAAGTGGATTCACGTCTTTGACAACGTGCAAGTCGTGCTCTTCCTTGTCGCCATCAGTGGATACGACCACGTGTTGGTAGAAGACAGGAACGGCGTAAGTTATCTTCCTGAAACGTATAGCCGTACGCCCACTAACAAGATTAGAATCAAATGCACGAAGCTCTGATGCTGTTCGAATCCATATCCAACTCCAAGTACTTCGAAAAGTCGGCGCTTATTCTCTTCCTCAACAAGATCGATTTGTTCACCGAGAAGATTGCAGGCGGAATGAGCCCGATCAGAAGGACATTCTCCGACTACACTGGCGGCGACAGAGATGTCGAGGCAGGCAAAGAGTTCTTCGCAAACAAATTCCGCAACCTCGTGCGACAGCCCAAGAAAGAGGTCTACGTTCACTACACGAACGCGACCGACACGAATCTGCTCAAGATCACCATGGCATCCGTACAAGATATGATTGTCCAGCGCAACCTTAACGCCCTGATACTATAATAATCACTGATGGACGCCTTGCGCGGAGCCATTGTCGTGGTCTTACACCCGCAGCAGGGAGGAGCGCTCGCTCGCTCGCTCGCCCAAGCGAAAGCCAGGGACGCATACCCACCCCGCGCTGCCGATCGACCCACCTGCCCTAGAACTGGATAGTCCACCTGGCCGGACCCGGAGTAGCAACAGACTTTGAGTGGACGAGGAGAGACGATTTCCACGGCCCATTCCATTTTATACCCCTGATATCCCTTTCTCCACTTCTTCCATCTTCGCCAATACTTTGACGATCTCACGACGTAATCTCTGGGTCTTGATTTTGAGTCTTGATCTTGGTCTTTTTCTTTTTTTGGTTCTTCTAGTAAGCGGATCCGCAATTTTGTAGATTGAATAGTGTATGCAGATCTAAGGAGATGAGCATGTCTTGAACCTGGGCTGCTGGAAGATACAGAGGTTGGATAACTAGCGTCCAATGGGGCTTTTCTGTACCTACCTGAGTATCTTGCCTAGTAGCTCGCTGAGAGCAGCAGGATTACAGATTGGGGCCAGATAATGTCATGTACGAGAGTATATTACACGGCATTTGACGTGCAGAGGAGATGCGAGCAAGTTACAATTTGCTAATGCAGTCTAATATCACAAACTATCTACTCAACTCCGAATGTCCGAATGTCCGATTTTCGAATCCTTTCAGTCTCCGTATGGTTGCATAGCCTACTTACCCAGCACCATGTTTACAAAGAAAGATATGCAGCAACTTGCACCACATTTACCCTTCTATTTACCCAACTTCCCTCCCCTAAGCGAAGGACGACCCAAGAAGTCATTCAATTAGTGTGAGAATTATAGTTGTGCCGCAAATCCCGCAGGGTCCCAACGCAACGCCATGCATGCGCGGTTGCGGCGTGGTTGACTACAGAGCCTAACAAGTCGGCCAGTCGCCTTTTCGGTCCGTGCCGCTTTTCTTTCCGCGAGCGAGCGGCGTTTGACTCGCAACGTTCCAGTGTTTATTGGAGGGTCTATCCATGGAAGAGAGCAGGTGTGGCTAGGCCTGGGAGGGCTTGGCTTGGGACTTGTGGCGTTGGGGGAGGGGGAGGGGGAGGAGAAGTTGGGTGGGTGGGCAAACGCAGGTGTGGACTAAGATGTTTAGGTAAAGATGCAGTATTGTGTGTTGTGGACACAAGTGGATATTGGATGCTTAGGGTTGAGTCGTGAGGTTTTACGTAGAGTGTTGTAGGAGTGGGTCTAAGGTTGGTGTCACTGAAGGTGGTGTCGAAGGGGTGCGCGAAGTGAAGTAGTAAGGATGGGGCAATCCCTTGCTCGCTTGCTCCAAGGAGGAAAAGACCAGACGACATATGAGACAGAGATAGTGTGCTTGCCATGCTGTTGTGGACATTTGTTCTCTGCAAGTGCAAAGTATCTGTGCGTGCCTACTGCAAGTGCGCAAAAAGCATCTGTAGATCCATGTAGACTCGATCCGCAACATCACATACAAGCCGCTTCGACCGTAGACTAGGCCAGACGAAGTAAGTAGTTGTCTCAGAGTTGTGCGTGTTTTTACCAAAATAGCTAGTTTCTCCGTGATACGCTTTCTGTATGATGATATCTAGGTAGAGAGTGTCTACTACACTATATCGTTATATCCTTTAGCCTATCACAGAGTAGCGGGCCGCGGTTCAGTGACGATGCGCATGATATTAGCCATACGTAATAGATCCTGATCTCAACTTCATTGATGATCGTTGAGTGAACCGCTTCCAAAGCTTAATACGTCGTCTGTCGTTGCTCACTCCACTTTCTTCTCGAATGCTGGATAAAGATGGTCGTTGACAAGATCTGGACTTGCACTTTAACATGTACGTCTGCTTAGATAATACAAGAAAACAACCTTTATAGTGTATCGTGTTCGTTTCCAAGTTGTCTATCATGAAGATTCTCCTTGTTCTTGCCCATCCAGAGCCGCAACCTCCGATTTGCAGCCCGTACAACTCAAATTTGACTGAGGATATGAAGACGGAGCCGTATGCTCGGTTTGCTGTGGTTGACAACAGAGAACTGTGGCCACCAAGGCATAGAGGACATGGTAGATACTGGGTTGGAAAGTACTTAACACATTATGCTGTGAGGTATACAGGAAACTATGGACGGGACTGATGATAGAAACAGGACTCTACCGCAAGCAAGACGTTGAGTGAATCGTGTTGCACATGCTACATAGCAGAGGCGGTGCATCGAATGTCAGTGAGAGTGAACAGCAGACTAGTGATAAGCAGGTGAGCGTGACATGTGCCAGTGCCAGTGCTAGTGCCAATCGGGGAAACATCGGCGCGTGGTGACCTGCAGCAAGTCCTGATAGCCGACCGACTTGAGCCTCATCAACACCATCGTCATACCCCAATACCCCTCCACCCAGCTGGCCATGTTCTCGCCCGCTGTTGGCAGAGTCGCCCGCTCTGCAAACACTTTGGCTGCTGCGCCAGCCAACTCGTTTGTCTTCACCCGCTGCGCCCGCTCTGCGCTGAGCACCAGCACTGCGCCGCAACAACCCTTCCGACCCAGTCACCAGCGGCGCTACTCGTCCTCGAAGCCGTCAACACCCCCGAATAGCAAGAAGAAGCCCGCCGAGTTGGACCAGAATGCCACGGCAGAGCTCCGGGGTGCGGGGAGGAGGTCCAAAGAGACGAAGAAGCTGAAGGAGCCCTCGACGGCTACTACAGGCAACAACGTGCCCTTTGTACCACCGACAAACCACCTCCGGGAAGACGGTATACTGTTACGGGGGTACACACCACCATGCACGTGCTAACACGGACCAGATGTCAAGCTATCCGCCTTCTTCGGCCTCCACCGCCCCATCTCCATCTCGCGCTCCTTCCCCAGTTCGACGTCGACCGCTGAATTCGACGCCTTCTTCGACGTCAACCGGGCAAACGACGTCCAAAGAATGGAAGCCACCAAAGATGTTCTGAGTGGCTTCTTGGACCGCGTGCACGCCGAGATAGATGCGCAAGAGGAGCAGCGAGCCGACGCAATACAATCAGAACAGCGCATCATCCATGTCGATTTCCAGCCAACAAAAGAGAACATCGAGGACTTGGCCGCCCGCCTTGTTCCCTTCCAACCACCACCGGCACCTGATCTGAATGATCCAATCTATAGCGCGACTGAGTCCGAGTCCCGCTCTGCCGAAGATCTCTCCGCTAGCATTAACCAGCGCATAACCGAAGTCCCACTACCTTCGGAACAAGACCGGCCGAGCACATTCCGCGAGCACGTTGCGCGACGACGATATGGCATGTACATGATTAGTGTAAAGAGGCAACGGAAGCTCAAGATGAAGAAGCACAAGTACAAGAAACTTATGAAGAGGACAAGATTGCTGCGGAGGAAGCTGGATAGGACCTAGTGAGTATATAGCGTGGCGTTATAAGCATGCATGGTCAGGTCAAAGAGAATCATCTCACCGACTCACGGAATGCTGGACTTGGGGCTTCCGTGTTGCCTTGCGCAGGTGCGAAACGGGTCGCCATGACCACGAGTAACACGCGCGGCTCGAACAGTCGCCTCCTCATGGCATCTTCGGTTGACAGAAGGCATTACGAATCTACCCAACTCATTTCTCAATTCCTGCGCATTTTCTTGGTGTTTTGAGCAGGTTGTTTTGATCGCATTTGGCGCCAGACAGGTCGCGTCATCTTTCCCAATATCACCGTCCAATATCCACCATTACGTGCATTTTCCTTGCATTGCGTTTCCGCCCGCGGATCTTGCTGTTTCCTCATGCATCGCAACATGTCTTTGAGAATTCGAATGGAAGTTCAAGATAGAACGCATTGATGATCGGCGCCGTCAAGCGATGTTCGTCAACGGCGGCTATAGGCGTAGCTCCGTGTCGCAAAGTCACATGAAACCCCACCGCGACTGAGGCCGTCACAACACCCCCAACATAAGGCATCGGTAACGTCAGTCCCTTGAGTCGATGCCCCGCACGGGAGCCTTATCAGACGGATACTAAGGCGTAGCGAAGTCGCAGCCCGGCAATCATACGTTCCAGCACGCCAAAGAGCGCATGACGCCTTGGCGGGAACACCCCTCAGTCATTTTTCCATCACGTTTACTAGACTCCGCTGTGTTCTGGGCGGCGGATCGAAGGCTGGATACAGGTCTTGGGCGCATGGTTGAGACGTGTAAGTGATCCTTGGTGGCATCACCCCAGCTACGGCGCTTGAATGTATGTTCCTTGGAGAGAGAGGCAAGTGAAAAGGTGATATATAAGTCGGAGTTACCTCGCCCACATTTCAAAGGCCAGCAACTTCGACAACAACAAGTCAACAGTAGCATCCAGCAAACTCTTCCTTTCGCTTTTCAGCACTTTTTCCATTCTTTCGCCCAGGTTGGCAATATTAACATCTACCCTATTACTACTCACTTTTTCCAAAGAGCTAGTCTCTCGTTTCCACATTAACGTTTAACGCATTACAACTTCGTTTTTTCTTCGGTCGATTCCAAATCACACATCAGCAAACATGGTTTCCAAGACTTTCATGATCGCGGCGATGATCGCCTACGTCGAGGCCCGTTTCGGTCAGGAGCAAGTCCCTATCAATGCTATCAGCAGTGTTCAGGGTGGTGACGCTGGTGCTGCTTCTACTATTGCTGGTGCGGCCATCTCTGACCTGCTTGGTGGAGCAAACTCTTGCGACAAGGTATGTCTCTCCACTCTACAACATCCACTTCCCCAGTTCCTGATTAACGAGTAAAACAGCTCGTCCGTGCTGACCAGATCTTCACTGAACTCGGTGGAGGTGCCGATGCCCTTACTGCCGCTATTGGCATGGTTACCGCAGAGAAGAACACCAACCCCTTCGCTGGCGGTAACGCCCAGAACGTCTGTGGCGATGCTTCTCTCCCTGTCACTCCTGAGCTTCGTGGTATTACCCCTCTCATCGACCCCGATGTTGATGTCAACGGTGATGCTGCGGCCCTTAGCCAGAGCAGTGCTGCTTCTCCTCTTGCTGCCGATGGCCTGAGTGTCTTTGATCTCATGGACCAGGCTGGTCTCGGTGATCTCGTTGTCAGCCAGGCTTCTGCCGGTGGTGCTGCTGCGGGAGGTGCTGCTCAAGGTGGAAACCAGGCGGCTGCCGGTAATGGCAACGCGGGTAACGCTGCGAATGGCAATGCTGGCAACGCTGCTAACAACGGCAACGCAAACAACAACCAGCAACAGCAAGGTTCCGCCGCTGGTAACGCTACTGACAATGCTGGTAACGATGCCGCTGCTGGTAACAACAATGCCAACAACAACAACAACAACAACAACAACAACCAGAATGCCAATGCTGGTAACAACAACAATGCTAACGCTGGTAACAACAACAATGCCAATAACAACGGCAACGCTGGCAATGACAACGCAACCAACAACCAGAACGACAACCAAAACAACAACAACCAGCAAAACGGCAACAACAACGCTGGTAACAACGCTGGTAACAACGCTGGTAACAACGCTGGTAACAACGCCGGTAACAACGCCGGTAACAACGCCAACAACCAGAACAACAACCAGCAAGATGCCGCAGCAGGAAACGATAACAACAATGCCAACGCCGGTGCTGATGCTGGCAACGCAGCCGGAGGAGCAGCCGGAGCCGGAGGTGAAGATTTCGGCCTCTGCACACCTACCATAACCTTCCAAGGCGGCGAGAACGGTCGTGCAGCTGACGAATTCACCTTCCAGATCGCCGATCCCCTAGCTCGCGGCGGTCAAGGAGAAGCCCTGAATCCCGACATCATCACCAACGCTCTTTGCAACCAACTGACCAATGTCTGCGAGGCAAACGACGCCGCTGTTGCCACATGCGAAAGTGCTGCTGCCGCTGTTAAGGGTGGAGATAGGAACAAGGCTTTGGCGGATCAGTTCAACAGCCTCATTGGATTCCCAGGTGCAGTCACAAACCCTGATGGTGGGCCTGAGGATGTTGCTGCTGCCGGTGCGGGTGCTGCTAAGGCGAGGAAGATGCGCAGGGGACTCAGGATGTAAAGAGTAAGAGGAGCTGAGATGGGAGATGAAGTAAAACAAGAAGATGGGGATGTGCTTGATTGAGACGGAATATGAGAACAGTGCACACTTAGCTGGATGCTCACTGTCAAGGAGTTGCTCGACTTTTCCCTTTTTTATACTGTATTCTTATACCATAGCGTTTGCCTTTCGTGGAACGACGATTAGATTGATATCGATGAACAAACTTGTTACGATCAACAACAACCTGTATCTTTATTTCTGGGCCATGAGATGATGATTGACAACTGCTATCTCCATTGTTCGGCCGTGAGATAGTATCGTGTATCGTTTGATGTCTTTGTGATGTTTTGTAATGCATAATGTTGGAATTCCCAAGCTCACGGAGGTGATTGGTTCGTGATTAACTCTCAGTGCTTGACCAAGTTCGATGTGCTAAGTGGCTATGAAGTTTGTCTTGTCGTCTCGTAGGGGCTGAACCTTAAAAGGACTCGTCATGGCTGCATGCCCACGTCCACGTCGCCGAGCTCATTTATATCAAATACAACCACTGATACCCTGCGTTCCTTGGTTGGATGTGGTAGTCCCATTCGCGAATCGGTCCAGTGGGTTTTGAAGTCAGCGGCGTCTGGTGAGGGAAGTATTTTCCATTTCGAGACGCTGGTGTTGGACTCCCTCTTTTGTGTTATGGAAGGTTGGTCGAGCCACCGGATAAGTAGCAAGCGTTCCTGCCGCTAAGTCAATCTGTGGCAGCTGATACATCTATACGTCCGGACAACAGCGCATGCGGAGATTTCCACCATCGCTGGTGTGCTATAATCTTGGTACAAGACAGACTGGAACACGTTCTGAAGAGGTATTTGCATTGGCTTGCGGTATTCTCCTACTACATGGCAACAACTATCCGTATCTATGTTTCTCCTCGGTCGACAGGACGCCACCCCCCTCTCTCCGGTAGGCACACGACAGCTCCAGGAACGGCGAGGTAGTGAACCCAGAACTGGGGGAAAAGCAAGTTGTACCGTTCCCTACATTGTGGATTCGATCGATCTTCCGACTTCCGTGTGTCCGTCCCGAAGAAGAAAAGAAAAGAACGTGGCTAGACAACGTCATGAGAAATCTCCGTGGTCACAAGCTGCATCCATGTCTGCGATACAGCTCTTGTTGCGGGCTTAGATTGCAGAGGCAGCAGTATCTGCCCGAGCGTCTTCACCACACGGGCTGTGCTTCGACCTAATGCATCGAGGATGGATACTTCCTGATTCCGAGAATCCTCCCCGGCATCCCCGCACATGCTTCCGCCTTCACAGTCGCGTGCGGCTAACTCTTGGTACGTGATATGCAGAAGATAGTGGAATTGCGCGTCCATTGGCCATCTGTAACACGAGGTTCGACTTGGTGTGGCTGATCTGCAAGTCCGTTGTGATCTGCGCTGCATGTGTAACTTCCGCGGAGCTGGTGGGGGGATGGGAGGGTCCTGGATGGACGCTTGACTTGCCTACGGAGGCGATGTGGCTTGCGGAGAGACCCTGAGCTAGAAGGCATGGAAGGAAGGAAGCAGTGTGTGTGTGGAGATAGTGAAGATAGCCAGGATCAGGGGAGCCATGCACGCTTAGAGTCGGTGAAGTTATGAGCTGTTTTGGACAGCGAGACGAGTATCGTGAGCTGGTTGGGATAGCGATGCAACTTTGCCTTTCCGAGCAAGCGGCTGGCGCACAGCGGTCATGTGTTGGACGATCATTGGGAAGTGCAGGCAGCCAAGGCAGGAGTGAGCTTGCAAAGTCCACGTGTGAAGATGCTAGAGTCAGTAAATCCCGCTGTCGTTCATTGCTTTTGAGGCTGAATCGAGCCGAAGCCACAGACGCAAGGTCATGGGCACAGCATAACTCACGTCGCATTCGTACCGATGTGGCGCAACGTGTGAAATGCCGGTCTCGAATACCTGGCCAAGAGGCTTCGTACGAACTTTAATCGCTAACCTGAGCCGTCGACACCGGATGGATAGTGCCCGCCCGTGAAGTGAAGCTACTGAGGACGTTTCGTGAATGCTAAGCCGCATCGAGGCAAGGCGTCTCATCCAAGATGAGGATCAGGTACAACTGCATTGACTCGACCCACCAAACACGTTTGAGGGAACAAAGGTCGAATGTTGGTTGAGGATGAGCGGAGCGGCGAAGAGAAGGCCCGTCGTATCCATCTCCGACAAGGTGTGGCAAAACGGCTGCGCCACGGAGATCACAAAAAGCTTGAGTGCTCAACAGATGGATTGTTTGGGTGACAGCGTGAGAGATGCGTTCACTCGACATGACATGGCGGCGCCCCATGCAAATGGTGCAGCGCTCAGACAACATTACGCAAAACACGTTAGCCAAAAGGGCTTAGCGCGATGGGTGGGTCATGCACGGGTGAAAATCGCGTGTCGTCGATTTGCAGGCCATTCCACACAGACAACAAAGCCTGTTAGCCTCATTGCGCACGAGCTTGGTCTAGCATGGCACATTATTAAGAGAATCATTTAGCACAGGGCGAGAAGCCAAGGGAAGCTGAGAAAAAAACTTTGAGACCTGCTTGCTGAGAAAGGGATCACCATCGGTCCTATACTCGGTCCCATTCCCCCGCCATCCGATTCGCACCGCTGCAACAGGCCTTGATGACGACGTAGGTGCTAATCGCGAGTGTGGTTCTTCAGCTGATGGCGAAGTTCCTACCTGTTACCTTCTTATATGCCTTTTTTCGCCGATTGAGACGCGGATTACTACTATAGTCTATGCTTGCGGCTCGCCAACACCCTGTGGATACCTACTAGATGAATCAGGCCAGCATGACCACTCCACGACGGAAAGCATGTGTCGAATGCCGCCAGCAAAAGGTACTTCCCCACCTCAATGGGACGCGACAATGTCCGACGATGCTATCAATCGTTTACTGATACTCTTCTTTGCAGATTCGATGTGATGTCGAGCAGCACAAGGTACCGCATGACCCATGCGGGCGCTGCAAGAAGATGGGACTGGAATGTCGCATCCTCCCTACATCAACCAGGAATTTGCGCCAGACCAAAGCAGAGATGCGACGAGAGCTGGAGGAGTTGCGATGGAACATGAGACAAGGGCAGAATCCTGGCGATGCAAACTACCCTCACTCGACGGCCTCACCAACCGTCGATATGCAGAATTACACCCCACTTGAACACGCTTCAGCCACATATTCGGATCCTTCTGGAAGGACTGATGCATCAGATTCAATGTCCCCAGCTTTCGACTCGAGGCCTCCGACACGAAAAGGTTCCGATCACCACGGCACGGTACCACGCGTGATAGACGGCTACTTACTCGATTCGAAACGGATCGACGATTGCTTCACCATGTCAGTCAGCCCAAAACATCTCTCTCGGTGTATACTAACAGCATCGTAGTTATTTCACACAATACCATCCGCTGTTCCCTATCTTGGACCCATCAATAGGGCCCAATAATTACTATGATCAATCGCCCTTCCTGTTCTGGACTATCGTGGTCACGGGATCGCGGCGGTACTCTGAACATGAAGTCCTTGAAAGGACAAGTCAGCCCATCACTCAACTAGCATTTTCCTCAATGGCGTTACGTACCTCGCAAGTTCCAATCATCCAAGGCCTTTTAATTCTTTGCACCTGGCGACTACCTACCAACTCAATGTACAAAGATACAACACACCTCATGTGCGGTTCAGCAGTACATCTAGCAACGCAAATTGGCCTTCACATAGCAGGCGTAGGCCAGGATTTTGCTAGGACACCACTCGAGAAGGATCAATCGCTCAAGGTGCAACGTGCCAGACTTTGGCTATGTTGCGTCATCGTCTCCATAAGGTAAGGACCATAGACACAGTCTCGAAACTTGCGCTAACCATGTTTAGAACGAGTTGTGTTGAAGGCATACCACCTCTTGCTGAATCATTCTTCGATGGGGATGAGCAAGACCGGGAAGACATGGTTCCGTACCTACCTTCTGACCTGCAATTCTTGCACAAAGTCTACATCATCCTCATGCGTGCCATAGTCGCTATGGGAAAAACTAACTTACAGTCTATTCACTGCGACGTCCGTGTGCTACGGTCGTTGATCGGTATATTCGACTCGCAGCTCCTCAGCCTGGCTCCGTCTTCCCCAAGTGAACTCGGTAAGTTTGATCAAACTCGTACAAAATTCGATCTGACGAAATAGATGCTCTGCAACTCAGCTGTGCACGTATACATGTGATGGCGTTCCATTTCTTCGCTCATCCCACGAATCCCGGGCCCGACGCAGAGGGTCTTTCAAGGTTTTACTCTCTATGCATCTCAGTCATTCAATCCGCGGCAACTATGCAAACGACACAAAAGATCCACTTACCTTCTGTCTCGCAATCGTTCATTGATCGTACCATCACCCTGGCTGGTTTCACCATTTTGAGGCTTGTTCGAAGTCCGCTCGCTCAACACCTGGATTTGCTTGCGGGCGAACGAGCATTCTCCCAAGCGTATGATTTCCTCCAGAATGTGTCTTTGCAACCGGGAGATATCCACTTCCGGACTGCACATATTATGAAAGATTTATGGGGTAGCGACAAAGTGTTCCGTAAGAAGGACGGTCGTGTGGAATCGTTATATCTAAGGTTGAGAACAAGGTTGAGCATGAGCATCAGCTACGACATGTTCTGGTACTGGCGAGAGGAATTCGGCAATATGCAAAATCCCTACAACGGCGACGAAGCGACACTTGAAAACGCTCAGCAGAGTGCACCTCGTAAGCATTTTACTACCAACTTTGGTCAGCACATAGCTAACAAACAGGTCAAGAATACTCGTCACAGCAACAACAGCAACACCAGCAGCAGCACCACCAACAACAGCAGCAACAACAGCAGCAATTGGATCCATCGATGAGACAGCAACTTCCGGTAACCAAATTCGACCCCAGCTTGGTCAATCCCCAGATGCAACCGGATCCGTCCGTGATGAGCAGCTTCGATGCTTGGGAGGGTCCAGATTACGGTGTACCA